GTTCCAGCATAACCTATCCAACTAGTAAAGTAGGGATTTCCCACCTTTAGCTTCTTTTGATGGGTGAAAGGGTTTCGGTTTTGGGTTTGTATTTGTCTAATGGAGTCTTCAGAACTCTGACGTATTCTTCAAATAAATCCGGTCACCACTTCAAAGCGATCCCCTCTTGGTTTCCTGTAGGACAGATTTATTAACCCGCTTTAGCCAATCAGCCAAACTAAATGAATGTATAGAAACATTAATTGTTAAGGAGATTCTTGAGAACCAAGCTTCACATCACATAAATTAGTGGTGGCTTTTTTCCCTATGCTTGTTATAATAAATTTTAATTATATGTAATCTTATACATTACTCCTCGGATTGAGTAATTAAATAGTGAAAAACCTCCTCTACACACAAATTATCAACTATGTGCTCTGTAAACGGTTAATTTACTGATAAATGATCTTGATGAACTTGCCCTTAAGGCACCACCTTTCAAGGTTTTGTGGACGAAATTTATCAGCCTGACTTCCGAATATAATATATTCAGCTGAATTTCTTATGGTGAATTGGAATTGCAGCTCGGTTTATAAAGCAATAATTCAGGCTACTTCCTCTCTTACCTTGTATGAATATCCCATTTTCCAATTGTACGAAATATTCGCTATGTGAGTCGATTCGAGGTTTTATTTTAGCTCGCTAGTTAAATAACTAAATCTTTTGCAAATTATCTTTAATATTTTTTGTTTTTAACGTATGTTTCCGAGACCACTAATGAGTCATATTTATGAGATTTATTCAACCTATATCGTTTGAGGTGATAAGGTGACTCGAAGTTGAATTTTCCCACAATGCTATGAGTAGACATGATGTTTCAGATGAATTTTGCATAGCCTTGATCTCCCAAAAAGTATTCTTATTCGGGGTGCAGGAACTGCAGTTTGGACCTCGCCTAGGTCTCACCAGCATCCCCAGCGGGAGTCGAACCATGACAATGCAGCGTATAATCTCGACTTTTTTATCACTTTGCCACATTTCCTCGAGTGTCCTCGGGTCCCAGAACAGATGTGATCTAAATAAGACCAAGAATTTCACCATATCGCATTTTGTGGTGGGATTTTAAATAAAACAAAGTTGTATTTGGTATCGCAATCAACTACATTTCTTGCTTTTCGTTTTTATAATTGGATTTTCGAGACAACCATCACTTTAGACGAACTAGAGGGAATAAACCTCGTCTCTATGCTGTACTGGAAGCCTTTCGGGAAAGTAAGGCCATGTAAATTCCAACTAAAACTTACTGTGTACTCATTTTATCGTAAGAAAATTAAACTAACATTCTCTTTATCATCGTAAACGAAATAGGGCCAATACATCTCATATATCCTCAATCTTCTTTATTACTAATTATTCCATGCGCCATCAGCTCATCCTCGTCTTCTCGCTCTGTGTAGAAAGTAACGATGATTCAAACAGGTTAATTACCTGGTTATTGGCTGGTTATAGGACTGTTCCTCCATAGTTCTTACTAAATTTTTCACCAGCATCTAAAATAATTTATCCATATATCTTTCTTTACTAATAAATCCATCCTTTATTGAGCTTTGCTGACATTATTTTTTATACCATACACAAAATATGCATCCATTCTGTCTGCATGTCTTCTTAGCTATGATCAAAACTGCCGAATACTCAACCATTTGACTTGGACTTGTATCGCCTGCTTGCCTCATCCTGTGGACCGGCCAATTGATCCTCTGCTCGGCCTGCTTCCGAGTTATATGCAGTTCGCCCGTTCTTCAATTGCGACCGACGCCTCGGGGATCTTTCTTGGGCGTGGAAAGCCCTCTGCTGCAGCTTCTCTATCTCAGATCGACACTGAGGCGGCCCCTAACTATAGAGCTCATCGACTTGTTATCTATCGAGAAGTTGATGCTTCTTCTGAAGGAGGGGAGGAAAGTGGTGATGATGGATATTCGGTTGATTGGGGGGATGATCTTGACAAAGGTCATCTAGTCAAGCGCAGATGGACCTCTTGTCGACATATATTACCTTGGAAACAGAGGGAGCATAACAATGAAACTTCAAAGGTGAAGGATATTAATGTTACTGAAGAGACAGCTGAAGCTAGAATCTATCGCGGCGGTGGGGCCTATCAAGTAGTTGATTCGCCAATTCGTGTGCCGTCCAGTCGGGTGGATACGAAGCGACCC